GACAACAGGTTCCTTGGTGTGCGGGTCTATGATAACCACCTCCCGGGAGCGCCTCATGATCTGCTCCATGGATTTGAAGAACTGGGCGGTGATCGCGGACAGCCCGATGAAGCAGTACGCGAGCGCGACGGTGTAGAGGGTGGCGCGGACGCCGTTGGAAAGCAGCGTCTCGCCATGGAACAGCAGGTAGGTGTCACTGTCACACGACGACGATGTAGGAGCAGAACCCACCATCGCGATGTTGGACATCAGATGAGACGAGAAGTTGGGAAAAGAGTTCTAGCTGGTTCCTGTTGCAACACGGATTGACACAGGTAATTAATCCATCAGCAGAGTTTTGGCAAGAAAATTGATGCTAGTCCATGTCTTCCTCGTTGACTCGTGAGAAGCAGAGGCGGCATATCTGCATCAGTGAGCAGCAGAGGCGGCACACCGCCATGGCGAAATTGCCCAGATTCCGCTGAGGCGATGGGAGGGAGAGAGGAGGGGACAAGAACGCACCAGTGCTCCAGTCCAATCCGTGGCCGGAGTCGGATCCCCACGAACCACCGCAGCCTCCTTCTTCTCCACCGACGGCGAGGCCCCGACGCCCGTTGCTCTGCTCCTCTCTATGACTCTATCCAATCCAATGCGCCGCTCTGAGACTGCAGATTAGAGAGAGAGAGAGAGAGAGCGCGCGCGCGTCAGAAGGGGATCCAGATTGTGGCACAAAGACTGCATATTGACGAAGCCAATCGATACTTCGATAGTGCTCCGTATCAAAAAAAAAAAGTTTCCATTTTTACAGTAGACGACAGATCATTCCCAACTTCTTGGAGATGCAAAAGGCGCCGAAAAGAAAAAGGCGACGAATTGCATCTCAACCGGAGACGAAGCATCCAGCCATCCCGAGACCGCGGAAGCGGAATGGGCGGGGCGGCTTACCAGTATTAGCAGTCAGCGGCGGGTGGACGGGGTGCAGCCTAGCCGGAGCCGGGCGGCGGAGATGCGGCGCGGGGCCCCCGCGGCGGCGCACGCGAGGACGGTCCCGCAGATTCCGCGCTGCCGGTGCTGTGCTTCACAACCCCGGGACAGATTTGGTAGTGGGGAGCGGTGACGGAAGCTACTGCATTTGGGAGCTGAATGCTGCCGCTGCTTCGGCCACACCAAACGCGCGCGCACCAAATTGTATGTACTCCGCAACCGCAACTAATGGTGGCGATTAGGGAGTATGTGAGGAGTGAGGTTCATGAATCCCAGTCGTCTGAGGTCACTCTCAGGAGTACACACTATCTATTGCAAGGGGACGACTTTGGAAGGTACTTGTACCAGTACCAACAGGTTAAGGTTCATCGCATTTACACGATTTTTCATGTGAAAAAGATTGTACATTTGCAAGAGCGAAAAGCGTGTATGGTCAATGGATTTTGTTCCAAAATTATTGTAGGTTTCTGAACAAAAGATAGTGCTTGCGGTCCAAAAATTTGTCTTCCAACCCAACGATAGCAAGGGGCTATTTGGATCCATTAACTAACACCAAAGATTAGAAGCACTGTGCAGATATGCTGCCTCTGCCTTACCTGATGGAACTAATAGTTAGCAGTCCGTTAGCTAATAATTAACAGGTCTGTTGGATTTATTAGTTTTATTAGCTAGTTTGGGGTGACTAATAGTCCGGATGCATGTTCAACTCACTATAGTGCGACCACCTATATATTACTAGGTGAATCTAAATTGCTTTCTACTAAAAATTAGTTGGCTCAAAAATAACAGCTATTACCGATTAGCTAGCCTAATTTTTAGTGCTAATGGATGCGGAGGGCAGTGGACGCCAAACCAGTAGGATTTTGCAGCCATTACAGTAGGGGCAGTGGAGCAACACAGACTCGTCGAAAATGGTCGGCTACTTTTCCACCTGCTTGGGACCATGCAAATTGTGCTAGCCACCCACTAATTCTAGTATGAAAAGGGTGCTTATCGTGCCGGGTCAGAAATAAAGGACACATCATTTTCGTCCCCCATGTGTACACCCGTGACATTCTCTTGGCTCTGCATTGCCGTACTGACGTGGAAGAAGCAACACCAAAAATGCGTGCGTGCATGTCAGTTGTTTGTCCTTTTCCAAAAGGAAAAAAAAACTGAATTCCATCCATACGATAGATGAAATTGAAACCTTGGGGGCCGGTGTGCTGCTGCAATTTTGCTAGGTCCCATCCTTTTGCTATCACGTATAATAATGTGACTGTGTGTGTGTTGGTCTATCAGCGGCACTTGTTTATGGCCACAAGACAAGACAGGCCTGCAGGTGAGAGGCTATTGTCAGGGTCCCACAACTCTCAACTCTTTGTGCAGCCTGTTCAGTTTAAAAAACTCGTTCTTTGGTTCGTGAAGATTGTATAAAAAGATACATTTTTTTCTAATTTGCATGAGAGAAAAATTATTATTTTTATACAATTAAAAAAATTTACGATCGTTTTTGAGTTTTTATTTTGACGTCATTAAGATGCAAATGCACAGAACAAACAATGATCCATCGTGTCGCCATCCAGCCGTGAAACTCGTGTCTTCTTCGTTTATTCTTTTCTGGAGGTGGAGGGTTTCCCCCTTTCAATCAACTAAATAAATAAATCTCGTGAATGAATAAAGAAACGTATGTATCAGGAGATGATAATGCATGCTTTCCTCCGAGCCAGTCATGAGCCCTGAACCTGGTTCGGGGACCAAGACCGTTTTATAGGTTGAAGGACGAAATTGAGCCGCTCATGGAATCGGACGAATAGTTGAGGGGCGAAATGACTCAAAGACGATGGCGTCGGGACCGATAAGAGAAACAAAACATAATACTCGAAAACAGTAGGGGCAGTGGAGCAACACAGACTCGTCGAAAATGGTCGGCTACTTTTCCACCTGCCTTGATGAGAACTTGGACACCCTACTTAATGGGGACGGGGATCCTGATTTTCTGTTAGGTGGTGGTAATTATTATTGTAGCAGAGAATGACACACCAATCCGGCTTCAGATCGAAAAATCGAACCCTGCAATCTTAGCACTATAACTCCTCTGGTTATCAACCGAGACACGAATCCGGTTGACCTCACCAAGAAGGCTAATCCCTGCCTGCGCAACGAAGAACACAAGCAAGAACAAGAAAGAAAGCAACCAAATTGCAAATGAATGATTAATCTCACGAAGTTGGGGTCTCACAAACCGATGAACGGTGAAACTATTCTTGATAGAATAATCTAAGCAAAACCCAAAACCTAATGATGGCGGCGACGTATGATTATAAAGGTCTTAGGGTCGTCGCCTACCCTGGACGCGCCCCCTAATGGGCCCAAACACGATACACGGCCCAACGGACCAAAAGACGGTGTCGCAGCATCCTGGCAGATTCTGGACGCTGACTTGTTTCGATGATTTCTATTGATTCTGAAGGGCTTTTGACATGAGACTACTTGGATTGGCTTCCTTATCAAATTATCTTTCCAACCATATGTGGATCGTAAAAAACAGAGTCCGGATGCGTCCTGAGTGACCAGTTTAAGGCAGACTAGTCCTGGAGGCCGAGACAGACTCGAACTTGAGTTGCTTTTGGCCTCCACCTCCGGGACTCGAACCGAATTAGTCTCGGGCCTACTTCTTGATTTGGACACCCTTGCTGGCCTCCTTCCCCTCCATACCATATGCCAAATATGGTCATATGCATGAGTGTCATGTCCTCATCAAACCTGATGTTCTAGTTTATTTTCTTTAAAAATTGCCTTAAGCTTAACCAAATATGCAGATAAAAAAATTTCAACATTTATGAGACTAAACAGATAGAGTATGAAAAATGTGTTTATGAAGAATCTTGAGGATATAAATATTAGTATTCATTTGTACAAATGAATCTGATAATATAAAACAGGTTTGAAACATGAATATATCATTCTTATAAGATAAATATAGGGATAACACACAGACGCCTCCGATTCTTAAATAAATAGGGAAAAAAATTGGCAGCGACAGGACAGAGTCAAAATTGATATTTATATAGGATTCAAAAAAATTGAAATTTATATTACAAGTTTTACGGTGGTTAAGAGAGATATGAACCGTCCACGAAGAGAGATCGAATGGCGAAGAAATCGGAGGTTACAAAAAAAGTACTGAAATGTACCAAATAAATAAGATCAGTAACAAAATACACGAGGCCAGTACCAATGATTTTTTTTTCAATTTCTATTAAAATGAAAAGGTAAATTGGTAATTTGGCTGAGCTCGCGTGGCACCCCCGCCGGCTGGCCCTGGGGTTCAGCCTTCTGCTGCCATCCTCCGGCCCATCGCCAGCCCGCAGACACCACCTGCCTTCGCCCGCTGCGAAGGCCTGTGCGCGGCCCAGACTTGGCCTGCTCAGCCTGCATCATGTAGCCATCCGCTGGCCCGCTCGCACAGCCGCGCGCACTCACCAAGTTTCAGTTCTGCAACTCCAAGAAATTTTTTTTTCCTAATTATGAAAATAGACTGTCAGCATCATATTCTTGACCAAAGTTCTCACAAATTTGCGTAGCAACCCAACCATGCAAGAGTTCAAACAAAATTGGTAGAGTATACTACCATGATGACGTGAAAAAGGATCTCTTATAGTAGTATATATTGTTCGTTTGTTTCTTTGTTTTTGTCGGAGCCGACGGAGAGGGAAACTGTCAGTGCTCCAATAGCATTTAAAAATTGTGGGAGCCGCGTGTACAACGTGAAAACGATGCTTACTTGCCCTGTTCGCTTGGTTTATAAGCCGTATTTTTTCAGCCAACGAATAATATTTCTCTCACAACAAATCAGCAAATAATACTTTTAGCCATGGCTTATCAGCCAAACGAACAGGGCATTGAACTCCACGTAGGCCGCATCATGGGCTAATCAACTGGACTAGCTTCACATTTAGAGGTAAGCTAGGGTTAGCACCACACACACATAAATATCTATATATATCTTGCCGTGCTAGCTAGCTTAATAAACAGCGCACACACACACCGACATGATGGGGTTCTTGGTGTTGCTCGCTGCTTGCACAGTGACACTGTTGCTGGCGTTCACCATTGCCACCCTGCACAGATCTGTGCAGAGCAAGCGTACTTCCACGACAGCTCTCAACAAACCGGCTCCTCCTCCTGGCCCCGCCGGCCACCCTCTCCTCGGCAGCCTCCTCTACGTCATCGGGCCCCTCCGACACAACCCGCACCGGAGCCTCGTCGCCCTCGCCGAAGCCCACGGCCCCATCGTGTACCTCCGGCTCGGCCTGACTCGCGCCATGGCCGTGGTCTCCTCCGCCGCCGTCGCCCACGAGGCCCTCAGCTAGTGAAGAACGACGCGGCGCTGGCGGCCCGGCTCGTCCCCGACAACGTGCGCGCGCTGTCGTACGGCGCCACGTCCATGGTCTTCCTCCCAGCTCCGACCAGCTGTGGCGGCACCTCCGCGTCCTGATCGGCGCCGGCTTCTCCTCCAGCCAAATCAGCCCCGTTCCTCCATGCCGTGGTGAAGGAGACACTTCGTCTACACCCAGCAGTGCCTCTCATACCGCGTGAGGTGGTCGCGGACGACGTGTCTCTAGGTGGGTTCCATGTGCCGAAAAGGAACGGGCGTCATCGTCAACCTGTGGGCGATTGGAAGGGACGAGAGCGCATGGCCTCGTCCCCAGGAGTTCATCCCGGAGAGGTTCTTGGCTGGCCAGGAGGTGCACTCATCAATGGTGAAGGATCGGAGGCGTATAGGCCGTTCGGTGCGGGGTGCAGGGTGTGCCCTGGGATGGAGTACACCGCGCGGTCCGTGCCGTTGCTGCTGGCATCGATTCTGCACAGAAATGAGTGGAGATGGTGGTGATGGGATCGGATTAATTGGAGGGCATGGACCTCAATGACCGCTATGGCACCGTGTTGAATCCGGCGACCCCCTTGCATGCTGTGCTGGTGTCTACCGTGTGATGTGTTGGTCTACGCATGTAACACATCGTATGGGAGTAAATAAGGTGGGAGCAAGTATGTAGGTCTATGTTTTGTACCACGGGCAAATAATCGATGTATCACGCGTAACAGACGAAGAGGGTAGCACACAAGACGACACATATTAATACTTATTTAGGTAGATGATATCCTGCGTCTAATGTATGATGATGCTTGTATTGCTTGTGTGCCGTGCTGGTATATGCATGCAGGAGTGATGTATTTGGTACCGGTTAGGGAGAGCGGGGTTCTGTCGTCCTTCCTTATATAACACGGAGGGATAGTGGTATGGATGAAGTCCCTTCTTGATCGCTTTACGGATTACTTTTGTAACCTGTTTTACTGGAATCCTAATATCCAGTCGATTTCAAGGAGTCATGATTAGTCACTCCCATCTATATCTATCTATTCCTCATCCACCAACCAGATGATATGCTATCTCAGGTGATATTCGTCCCCATCCAGTTGACCCGGTCCACCCTAGTCCTGGTAGCCGGTTATGGCCTTGGTGAGGGTACCGCCCATGGCACTCGTACTTGTCAGTGTTGGTATTCTTATGCTCCAGTAAATTAATTCTATAAACATATATAAATATGTTGTACCATTTCACTCTAGAACATTTCAAAGTATCATATTTTTTTATCCATAGGAAGGATAATGCAAGACAAATAAAGATAACGACAAAGTTGAAGGTGGGCCTGATACATAATTATTTAGCTCCTTACACCGCTAGAGAACATGGTCTAGCCCCAACCTTGCATGGTCCTACTCAGAGACACTACTACAAAAACAAATTTGCGCAGCGTTGCGATAACGCTCTCCGCGGTGGGCTCCTATTTTTGCCCGCTACGGTAAATCCCACGATTTACCACGGCGGGCATTTTTTATTTACTGAGGCGGGCACTTTTGCCCGCCACGGTAAATCGATTTACCGTGACGGACCTCTTAATATGCCCGCCACGGAAAATACATATTTTCCATGGCGGGCATATTAAGAGGTCCGCCACGGTAAATCGATGTACCGTAGCGGGCATCCTATAAAGCCCGCCTCGGTTAAGGCCGAGGCCCAATAGGCCCAGGGTAAGGCCCGTAGCGGGTACTGGTATAAAATGAGCACTTAGGGTTTCAGTCCTCTTACCTCTCATCCCCAGGCGCCGCTCCCACCTCGCCCACCTCGCGACCCGCGACGAGCACCTCCACCCCGCAATGACCCGCGACGCACGCACTCCCTCCGTCGCCAGCGTGAAGGCCTCTCCCACTCCCTCTCTCTCTCTCTCTCTCTCCTCTCTCTCTCTCTCCCACTCCCTCTCTCTCTCCCTCGCTGGCATGTGAAGGCCTCTCTGCGGCACAGGGACAAGCGAGGTCACGCGCGCCACCACCTCTCCATCACGCGCGCCACCACGCGGGTCCAGGATCGTGACCGGATCTGGCGAGGAGAGCGCCGCCGTGCCCGGTATCTCTCTCTCCCTCTCTCTCTCTCTCCCACCCTCTCTCTCCTCTCAGTACCTCCCTCATCTCTCTCTCTCTCATAGGTGAGGAGCTGCGTGGCGCGCAGGGACCACACGACTGCGGATCCAGGCGGCCATGTCGACTCCCTGCGACGTGGATCCACACGGCGGTGATTCCAGGGCGGCCGCGTCTACTCCCTGCTCCCACGATGTGGATCCACACGGCGACGACACGGATCCACGGCGAGATGGCCCCAACCTGCGGCGATGGCGCGGATCCTACGAGGATGACCTCCCCAGCGGCAGATTCGGCAAGGTGGAGACCCCGGCGACGGATCCAGCGAGGTGCGGTGGCGCCAGTATTGGGTTGTGAATGGGCTCGTCAGTGGGCTCGAGAATGGGCTCGCCGGCGGGTTCCTAGGTTTTTTGGTTTTTTTTGAAACGTTTAACCGCGGCGGGCATCCTAACGTGCCCGCCATGCGAAATCGATTAACCGCATGAAGCGGAAAAGCGCCCCAGCGGAAGGCCATGATTTACCGTGACCTTCCCACGCTGGCGGACGCGTTTGCCCGCTGCGCAAAAGCAAATTCGCCCGCCGCGGAAAATGTTTCTGTAGTAGTGAGATTGCTAAATTTGATTATTTGAACCCCATCTATGGATGTAAAAGATCTTTGTGTACCTATATAACACGCTTTTACTATTCCCCCCCCTCAATGTTGTCTACTGCATGTAATGCATGCAAACAAATATACTGTCACTATCAAGATAAAGAATGTCGTCCAAACTAGTCATGGTGGTTGTTGACTATGTGGGTCCTAGGTATCCACACAGAAGGTAAATTTGACTGGTCGAAACTGAAAAAGGCCCATGAGTACCTCATCGACTTGGCAATCAAGATGATGATTGATAGAAACTAACGCATCTATGATTCTTTGTAAGCTGATTCACCCAATGTTCAAAAAGGCGCTAGGCGCGGTGGCCCATCACCTAGAGCTTAGGCAAGCCTAAGCGAGCCTAGGCATTTTTCTAGGCGTTTTGTATGTATACCAATATACATATATTATCTTCTAAAAGAAAAATAAATAAATAGCTGAATAGTGGGCTTAGATAGATAGAAAGGCTGGCATAAATAGGTAGAAAGGTCCAAGAGGCAAGAGTCCAGCCTAAAGATGGCAACGGGGACATCCCCCGCGGGGAGTGGTGCCCCGTTCCCGTCCCCAATGTTTCTAATTTTCCCCGCTCCCCGTCTCGGGGTGGATTTTCTCCCGTCCCCGTCCCCGATTGGAGTCGCCGGGCCTCGTCGGGGGTCGCACACCCAACAGGATGGCGGCAGTGACTCCTTACGGCGTGGTCGCGGCGCCGCGCCAATCTTACCTAGGTGCGTTGGCGGCGAAGCAGTAATAATAACCATAGCACCGAGCACGTCGGCATGGAGCCATGGGGGCTCGGGGACTGGGGAAGGAGCAACAGAACATGGAGATTGGGATCTGGGGAAGGAAGAGGAGGCGCAGCAGCGGCCAGCAGGAGCAGCTGACATCCAACTCCGCGAGCGCTCTGCGGGAAGACGGAAATACGTCCGACTCAGCGAGCCCGAAGCGAATCCGACGCGGAAAAAGTGCCGATGTGGTAGCGAGCCTCTGTGATACAATGCGAGAGAAAGGGTGGCAATGCGGGAGAATAGAGCTGGCAGCGGCGGATGGGTGTGGGAGTTAGGGTTACCAAATATTTATATATACTGATTTAATTTGGGCTGTGCTGAACAATTTGTATTGGGCTTCTTTTGGCCCGTATACTCGGGGCCCAGCGGTTAACGGGGACGGGGACTGCTGGAACGCTCCAGCCCTTGCCTATGGACCGCTAAGCTCCCCGTGGGGATCAAAATCATCCCATCTTCATCCCCTAATGGATGAAATCCCCATCGGGGATCGGGAATCGGGGCCCGTTGCCATCTTGAGTCTAGCCCATCTCCCACTCCAAGTCTCCAACCTTATCCATCCACCTCCTGTGCTCTTCAATTCCAGCCGCAGGCCGCAACCGCAATCCTCAAATCGCACCCTTCCTTGTCGCGGTCGCACTTGACGCCTGCTGCCTCTACTCGATCTCCCGCATCAGCAGCCGCCGTCGGTTCCTCTCCGTCTCCGGCATCTATCTCTCTCCTCTAGTGCGCGCCTGCCGCCGCCCGCACGCGTCCGAAGCTCCTCCTTCCCCACCAGCGACCTCCGCCAGACGCTCCTCCTTCCCCCATAGGCCAGGTGGGCCCCCCTTGCCTAGTGCCTAGTCGCGCCTAGGTGGACGCCTAATGTCGCCTTTTTGAACATTGGATTCACCTAAGATTTTCCTCTCGCCAAATAGGAAACTAATTCACAACCGACCAGGCTATATGTCTCCATGGCCGACATTACTAGTGCTGGTAGCTTACCAACGACAACCTCTCTCTCTCTCTCTCTCACAGGTCACTTTCTCCTCTCTAACTGGGTGAAGTTGAAGAAGGATTAGAATTAGGGTTTTGGCCTTTGGGTAGTAGATGAGGATAGGGAGTGTTTCAAGATTCAAAGTTGGGATGTTGAGGAGCTATACAAGGATGCCATAGGTGGCAGTGGCAAGACGAGATGACGGGACAAGTGACTTGGCTAACAAAGGGTAGAATAGAGGGGCCACGACGAGTGACGACCAAAGTGGTGTGCTGCGTTGTTATTGCCGACCGTGGGCGATATTGCGAGCAACCATGGTGCGAAAATGCCAAAAATATGAGTAATTTTCTTTCTAATCATCTGTTACTGTTTTATGGTGTGTGTGGTTAGACATGACGATGGCTTCCAACAAATTACTTACTCAGTTTTTACGTATTATTAGTTTTGTCCTAAGTTTTTAAGCTTTGACCATTATTAAAATATTTATATAGGTTAAAAACA